CCTAGAGAAAAAAATCAATCTGTTAAAAGATTCTTTATCCACTTCACTCTTCATTATCTTGTTAATTTGTTTTTGTAATCTTTTCACTGTTCTGTCAACTTCCTTGGAGGAAGAAATTACATCTTCTTTAATACTTGAATTATGCAGTAATGGTTTCACAGGTGTAATTGTGATATTTTCTTTGACAATTTGCTGCTCCAAGATTCCTGAATACATACTGAGAACAAAAATGACAACTAGATCTTTGATAGATAAGTTTCAGTTGAATGAATTGGATTGTGCCAAAACAGTGCTTCTTAAAAGAATTCTCGAGACGAATGTCATTCATTTGTCAGCTGGTGATGTTGTATATTTTAAGAAGAGTTTTCTTTTGTCAGCTTTTGGAACTCTATTTACGTATGGATTGCTTATTATGAATTTTAAAAAGGATTCATAAAGCTCCTCGGTACGTAATTTTAAAAATCAAAAGCAATATTATGTATCTTGCGTAATTTAAAACACATTTCTTTTCTTAATAAAAATGGCTTTGAATTCTGCTTTTCACGAATTTTTACTTCATGTTTTTTTTTTGTTGAAGAATTGGGTTATGTAATGGCAAAGCTTTTATTCAGATTACATGTTATATGCTCATATATTAAACTAATAAATCTTTTTTGAGTAAAGTTAAATTTTTAGTTGTGGTTATTTATATATAAAAGAACATTGAAGTCGACACATGCTGACGTAGTAGATCCCTTCCTCCTATCCCTTATCCCTCCCTTTCTACGGTGCACCAATGAGGAGCTTGATCTACATTGCACTGTGATACAAGGGCGGCCCTCCAACCAATATTTTCCATCGAGGCACCTTTATCAGTAGATATTCTCAAAAGTCAACTGTTAATTGGTGATTTTCTTAAATGTCATACAAACATTACCATGCAATGGATTCTATCGCACTGTGGCATTGATGGGAATCAAAACGTCGATTGCTTGGCAAAAAAGGGGACAAAATCTCTCAAATCCATAACAACACAATTCTTTTTATAGTGCCAAAAGGATCATGAAGAATTACTACAGAGAACACTTCTTTTCAGAATTCAACCAAAAGAATAATCAAAAAATGTGGTTTAACAAACTACTTCATATTCTAAAATGGCCACGAGATAGAGCTGTGGCCTATTTTCAAATCGCCACTGGCCACGACTGCCATCTAAACAGGATAGGTATTCTCCAAAGTCCCTTTTGTAAACTGTGCAACTCCAATGAAGAAATAGACACCATTAATTTGGCATGCTGCCGTGCACTCAGCTCTGGATCCTTGTGGAGCAGATATTGGGAGGCTAGACACAAAATGTGTAATTTATAGACTATACTGTGGACTTGTGTTTCTTTTCTTATTTGTTTTTTTATTGTTGTTATTTCTTGTTCTTTTTCAATATTCTCTTTTTCTCATTTTGTTTGCAGTTGTGCTATCTTTCTTGTAATCCGCCATTGGAAAAAAAATTATATATATATATAAAGTGATTTTCCAAAGTACTCAACATTTTATAGTTGCTGCTTCACTCCCCCCCTCAAAATAGTCAATGTTTATTGATTGCCCTATTAACCATTTAAATCAGACACTCACGATCACATGTAAGCTAGTTTTAATTTTTATAACTGCATTTTTTCCTGTTTGTTAATAGTTTTGATTTTTTTGTAACTTTGGATTTTAAGTGGTATGTATTATATCGAGTTTTAGAAAATGCGTGTTTATAGGAAAAGTATTCGTAGCCCCAAATACATTTATTTTAAAAAGTATTGTGGTGCCATCTTTTGCAGCTAATCTTAACTACGTTAAAAATTTATTCCAGCATCATGAAAAACTTTTCTTATAAAGATCAATAATTTAAAAAAAATTACTGGTAGATTTTGATAAAACTTGGCTGAATTGCTGAATAGAACTATGATTTCACTGCAAACAATAAAAACAAGGGAGAAAAAGAAGTAAAATTTATACTTCTACGTACTGAAATGTCTGTGGTTTTTGACTTCGATATAGATTCATAATGTTTTTATTCATGCCTTAAAAATGTACAAAAAACAAATATATTACATGAAAAATTTTACTATGCCATATTTTTATAACGGACTAATATGCAAAATTTTTGTTTTCGACTTTTTCCTTTTCTTCATCTTTCTCTCTTTCTTTTGGTCCCCCCCCCTCTTTTTTCACATTTTCATGCATTTTCATCCACTTCTGAGCTATTGTCCAAATTTCCAGCTGATCGGGAAATTAGTTTAAAATCAATTACAAAATTATTCCACCCGGAAAAACAAGAAAACGAGTTAATAAAAACGTGGTAAAATAGTACAGAAAACATTATAAAGAAACTAATGGGAAAGATAACTACTATGACTTTTCAATTTTTACAACTAATACAAACAACAATTTTAATAATGCACCAAAGAGATATCTGTTGGGGAAAGAATTATTATTCTTTCAAAGGAAATAAAGTCACTATTATTATTTAACTATCATATCATATATTTCATTATTACAGTATTATTGCTTTCTGCTTTTTCTCAAAGTTAAGCAATAATTTGAACCGTCTGTTTCCTTGAGAAACATATACTAAGAAAATACTTAAGGCCTGAATAAGTCAATTTTTTCCAGTATTTTATTTCATGAATATTAATAATTTGAAAATTTATGTTCATGGAATTTTGTAAAAATCGTATAATAAACATTTGTAGTGATTTTCTTTTAACAAGCAAATAATATGTCAAAAACTCTTAATAGTTTTCAACGTTTGACGGTAGATGACACCACATGCTTATTCATTTCAAATCTTTTTAGAAAGATCTCTCAATTATTTCTTATGATCTATTATTTTTGCCAGCAATAATTAAATAACTTAAACTGTATGTATTATTTCCTCTTTCTTTTAAAAGAAATGAATTAAGGGTAAAGTGTTAATGACTTCGGATTTAATAATTCTGAAACTTGAGTAGGAATTAAGACAAAATCGACAGATTGATACAACATACACAATTTTACGTAAATTGAATCAAACTAAAATCGTATCACACTATGTGTGAGAAATTTAAGTACTTACGTACTATCGCAACAATGCCGACGTTCAAGATACCAAGTTGGCAACTCCAATTCCGTATATGTCGTGTGCGCTGAATTAGCAAACATGTGCTTCGTTTTATGTAATGTCGTCAATACTTAAGTACCAAAATTAATTTATAATGAAAAGAACTAAGACTTAAAAGAAGGAATCAAAGATCAGACAGCATACATAAATTGTAAGGTCAAACTTTCATCCTTGAAAATTTTTTTCGGTGCAAGAATTCTGAAACGTGTATGTTTTCATAACTTAGAATATAGAATTCAAGTATGAAAAATAATTGAATTTGTTCATTCTGTTCAGAAGATATTTAATCTCATTTGAAGCTTATAATAAGTACACCGTAGGTAAACAGTACCCAAAGGCTATCACTAAGAAACTCTTCTTGAGATCTACAATACCACCTGCCCACAAGTAGACTATACCCTTCTTGATAATTCTATTAAAAACAATAATTTCTTTTCCTTTACTGCCATTGCCGAATTAGTATTTATCTCTTAAAATTAAAACTGTTGTCTTTATTCCCATCATGCATTCTGGTATCTTGGCATTGAAAAGTGTTACAAAGACCATAATGGCAAAACCCGGAAGAAAGTTACAGCTTAACTGTACTAAAAATGAAAGTGACAACTTACTTTCGAGCAAAACAGTAGACAATCCGAAGTACAAGTCACAGAAACTAACAAACATGATTAAAAACAATGGTGTAGATAAAGTGTCTTTCAAAATGTAAAGATTTCTCTCGATACTGTTGTAATCATTTCTTAGTTTCATTATATCTGGTATTTTAGAGAATTACATGTCTTTAAAACATTTCTTAATTCGAATGAGAAGTATTCGATAATGATTCACTAAAACACAAATCGATAAAGCAACGAGGCTTAATCATGACAGAAACTTCACTCAATCAACAACATATAAATAATGCTAATAATGCTAAATTAGAATTATGTTATAAACGTAATAGTCAAAAAAGACAAATATTTATGCATTCCTGCTTTATAGTAAGGATTTCATTTCAAAATCACAGAATATTATTCCTTCAAAAAATGTTTATTTAAACTAATCTAAATGTTTATCTTTCATTGGTCATGGAACAGCGGGAAAAGTTTTTGAATTTCAAATTTTAACGTTTATCAATATCGTATAAAGTATATTATGCTTTTTAATAACTGCATTTAGTGTACGAAATTGATTCCATTGGAAGCTAATAGCTTTAGACGTTTATAATAGACTTTTATTTCTTTGACGCACGTAAGCACAATTATTTTTTTAAAAAAAAGGATGAATTTTTTGTAGTAGGTCACTTTTTTGCAAATATGATTGTTTTATCATGTGCAATTATAAGTATCAAACATTTAAAACGGCATACGCAAGCACCATAAATATACAGGTAACTTTGTTTCGAATACTAATAATACATTACTGTTAAAAAAAAATCAGATTTGAATAATGTAGTTTATTCTCTTAAGAAAAAAAAATAGTAAATATGAAAATGCATTTACTCGTAATATTGTCACATTTACTTGAGGGATTTGATAAAGACAGGTATTTATTTGTACAAGTTTATTCATAATTCACTACAAGGTTTCGAAGGGCTATAGTAAACAAGAAATATAAAAAAAATTAAGTCTCAATTCCTACTTAGGTCAACAAAGAAATTTTTTATTTTATATAGTTATTTTTTATTAAATAGTACCAATTAATATAAATATGTATATACATATGACAGAATCACAATACTAAGTGACAAAATAGAAAGTAATTTTCCTTGCAATTTTCCTTTGTATATAGGGTGCTGGACAATTTTTTGTTTGTTTGTTATTATCTACTCATGAATTAAATTTAATTATTTTAATAAAATAGTATAGTAAAAGAGAAATCATATTCTCAGAAACTGAGCTATCCCAGGTAGGATTCCAGTCCACGACCTTTAGATTACAATTCCAACGCGCTATCCAGTGCGCTACAGAGACACATCAAGCGATTTTCCTTTTTTATATAGGGTGTTGGATTATTATTTTTTGTTTTTTACAATTTATTCATTAATTAAGTTTAACTAATGAGTTAATATTTAAAAAAACTGTATTAACATCAAAATTTGAACCAGATATATAAATAAATGAATATATATATATATTTATATATAGGGGGAGAGTGATCGAAAAGTAGGACTTAAAAAAGTAAGATGAATACAGCAAAAAAGAACATTTGAAAGAAAATACAAAATATTAAAGTTTTATTTAATAACTTTACAGGTGTTCTATGTGTTAAAACTTGGTTACATGGCATATATCAATGCGGTAGTCCGATTCCTGCCACTGTCTACTTAACATGATACTCTCAATGTTATTGACAGTTCGTGTTATCCTTTCATGCAATTGTACTACATCACTCGGCCGAGGGAGAAGGAAAACTCGGTCTTATATAAAATACACAGTATACGAGAAAAATACGAAAAACGGACTATGACGTCACACTAGTAATGGACACACTAACAGCAGTAATTGCCAATATTTATAAATACAGATGCTCTAAGCTTCTGCCATGCATTATCGAGGCAAGCTTAAGCACGCCGTGGAATGGAGCAGGGCACACGTCGCATCAACGCGGTATCCACAGAAGTACAAGCAGTATGCCGATGTTAGCCCGTTTCTTTTTTGCCTTGTCTGTCACCTAGTCACTACGTCTTGATACACCCATTCTTTGCTATTGCTCCATAATCAAAAAATCAAACAGTGTGAGATCTAGTGATCGGGGATCCATAGACCGCACCCATATATCCTATCCAGAGGACGGGTTATACCATATCCAGCTAATTGCGTACAGGAAGAAAGAAATGTGCCGGAGCCCCATTATGAACCATCATGCATCATCAGTCATTCATCATCATTTACCGCATTTTTCTTGTAAAATATGGGTTGTACAGGTACAGTTCCTTAGGCCTTTTTTTTATGTATGTATTTTTTTCCTACTATGCAGAGTTCGATGCCATTTTTGATCCCCCCTTTTTAAAAGCATAAAATGAATAAAAGTGTTTTTATTTTTTTGAAAAATAATGAATTTTTTTTACTTTGTACCAATTAAATTGCACACTATAGTATACATCTTTTAAACTCATTACATTATAACATTGAATAAAATTGCTCCATTAAGAAAACACAATTCAGAGTTCTATAAGCAAATTATTGTAATTGAAGCAATTTTCCCAACAATACTTTCAAACCAGCGCTTAAAACTTGCAACAAACTGACTAATGGGGGACATAACGGGTACACAGACAAATTTTGCTTAGTGAGGAGAAGTTTTTTCGGCATTGCAGAATCTTTCAATCAATAGAATGATCACCCAAGAAGATAAAGATAAGAAAAAAACTTATCATTCGGTTTCCATAAATATTTGGTGAAGCATTTCAGAGATTCTTTTTTGCCAGATAGAAGTGAAACTCTCCAAAAATATTGATCAAAACACTATCACAGAACCAAAAAAGAAGTTTCTGAATGTAAATCAGTTCAGTGGAAACGATTTTTTTTTTTTGACTTCTCAAAAGAAATCTGCGAGCCTCTTTATAAGCCGAATAAAAATCCGCCATGGTTGAAACAGAATGTGCCTGACTTAATAGAACACAAAGATAGGACTTCCAGCAGACCGGATTTATATCCACTTGAATATAAACTGTGGTTAGTTTCAGAGGCAGATGTGGGCCAAAAGCACCATCTGAATCTGAACAACCTTAAGCGTTTTTAATGTTTAAAATTTAAATGGAGTAGTGTGTGTCTCCAGAGACGATTTGTCAGAAACTTAACACTAAACATACCATAACTGGCCAAAAGACAGATTTTTCTATGGCAAAAATAGGTATGTATCAAGTGTTGGTATGTTTAGTGTTAAAATCCGTGTGAAGTCAAAATTGATCAAGTTGAATAAAAGGTACAATATGTGTGTGTGTGTTAAATTTAAACTTAAATTAAGATCTTAAAAGATTAAGCTTTAAATTTCCTTGGAAAGTTTTTTTTTATTTTTTATAATTTATATTTGTATCAAGACTTATGACACCATTAGGTATATCCACACTCTTCACCAATAAGCCTGACGACTGCTGCATACGAAACCTCTTCATATAATTTCCATTCTCTTACTAGGACAGTGCTTCTCAAACTTTCAATATTTGCGACCCAATATTCAAACATAATTTTCATCGCGCCCCCCTTCCTTACAATAACAGTGTATTGAATTCAGTAATACTGAATTTTGAACGCTAAAGATACTATGCGACTTTAACCTTTTAAGTGCCACTGGCGTGTATAAATGCCTCGTGTACCCAAAGCGTGTTATTACTCTAGGCGTATATATACGTCTTTTCGAAGTACGATCTTTTTACGAAATTTTTGTACATAACTTTATATACGACTAGCCCATGGAGTCACTGTGTGTGGTAGTTATTAAACTTGTTTTTATAGTATTGTTAGATTAATTATAAAATACATTGTGCCGTACAAATACATTTATAAGTTTTTTAATCAGTCCAAATATGTGTATTTTATTTCTTATTATATCAGAGTGTATTCTGTTTGTTTTCTTTCAGTGAATTAATAATTTTTTAAGAATAAACTTTTTTTTTTGTTTACGACTTTTCAATGTGATTGCACACCCTTGCGGAGTTATCACGCCCCCCCCCCAAGGGGGGCGCTCCCCACAGTTTGAGAAACGCTGTACAAGGAAAACAAAATTTTTGAAAGACAAGATGTAAGATTTGATGTCAAAAATATGTGGCAACACCTTGCGAGATGAATTGCTTCAGTGTTAATTTATAACTGTGTAGAATGCTTTTATTGTGTGTATAATAATGCACATAAAAATTTTAAAATTTAGATTATATCCTGTAACTATATTAATTTAAGATTCTTTTAATTTGAAATAGCTTTAATCGAATTTAGATAAAAGTTGGATGTTTTTTGTAATGGAAATTTGAATCTTATATAATTTCCCTTGCTTATAATTAAAATGCTCTACTCACTTGAAGTAGTTTTATTTTCTCATCAAACTGAAAGTTTCCCAAAAGTAGGTATTTCCTGAACAAAAAGTTAATTTTCTTAATGTAGTTTTTGCAGTCTTTTTTGTTAAGTAAATGGACAAATGATTTACAATGTATTGGCTAGTTTTTGCGTATGATAAATTTATTTGTTGTGTAAGAATATTTGGAAAAATGATTTTATGTTGCGGTCCCATTGGCTGGTATGTGAGCTTAAATAAACCTTAATTTCTGTATATAAATAATAATAGTTAAAGAAACATTTGACTTAATCACAGGAATCATAGCCTTTTAAATGATTAAAAATAGTGATTGTTTTTTGTTCTGAGGTACTTTAATTCAAAGTATTGATTTGCTGCTGGGATGTGAATAACTGCGAGCATGTATTATATAATTTGTTCTGAAATTTTTCAACTTAGAGCTCTCAAATTTTGTGAAATAGCAAAAAATTATATAAAGAATAAAATAAGCTGGAAGAATAAAATAAGCTGGAAAAATATAATTTGATTTTTTTGTCTTTCTGTTAATTGAATCGCACTGTGTCTTCGTAATTAATTTAGATTAGCTATTAATACGAGGTGTGACACAAACACACAAACAAGACTGTAAACGAGACCCTTCTGTAACATGGAAGATTTTTCAATAAACTAGGAGTCGTGGCACAAAAGAACCCAAAAAATCATTCCAATAAATGATTGTATTTACAGAATCAGTTCTCCGTGGAAGTATCACCTCCAAAGTAGTTCCCTTCAGCATTCACACACTTCTGCATTTGGTTCCCTGCTTTTGCTGATGACATTTCTGGAACGAGGTTTTTGGAAGTCCTCTTAGGAGATTTTCCGTTTTTGCCTGAACCTCTTCAACTGAGGTGGTCCTCTTCAACAAATGGGAATTGGGTTCCCCTTCAGCAAGATTTAACGGTAAAAAAAAAGAAAAGAAACGAGCCTTACAGTAGTCACATGTGATGTGTAACATCTGACATGTTATCGTGGTAAATGCGCAATAGTAATTTAAATCCTGAAAAAGATGAATCAAGTATGATTGGAAATAATATTCTATCGAATAATTATACCTTTAATGAAAATTTTATTTAGGAGTAACGCAATTTTTAATCAAAAGTATTTATTCTTGTTCAATTTGGGGAAGAATGGATACAATAGACTTATGATAAGTTAAATTCACTCACTTCCAAAAGTTAAGCACGGAGAGGAAAATGCTAATTTCGTAAATCCAATCAGAATTGAAGAGGATGCAATTCGTTGCAGAGGTAGATGGAAGTATGCAAATATGTTAGGTAACAGCCAATAGTGCTTTCATGTCAAGAAATATGCAAAAAGAGCAGTCTTATAAGAAGCCAGCTTTATGAAGGGTTACAGAAGTTGATTGTAAGTGCTGATAGAAGGTGTTTAAGACTTTCGTACAATTTGTTTTCAAGACATATGTGTTTCTATGACTTCCAGAAAACGAATAGAAGATTCTGAGCGCTGGCGTGCTGTAGGGAGCCTCGAAGCAGGACAGTCGATCGCAAATGTTGCTCTTTTCTTCGGCGTTCATCATTCTGTAATTTCAAGTTTATGGAAACAATTCCAAACCACACAAACAGTTGTCTGAAGGCCCGTAGGCAGTCACCAAGGGTTACAACCCCGCGGAAGATCGATATATTGCTATTGTAGCCAAGCGGAATTCGAAGAGCGACCTCCACACGTGTGACATCTATGGTTACAGCGTCCATTGGTAAGGCTATATCTGCAGCTACTGTACGCCGAAGATTACATATGAATGGACTGTATGCCCGGGTACCTCGAGTTTGTGTTCCTCTTTCCGTCCAATCAAGAGAGGCATGATTAAAGTGGTGCCGGGAACATGGCAATTGGACTATGTCTGACTGGGGCAATGTCATGTTTACTTATGAGTCAAGATTTGCTCTGGAGCCATATGACAAGC